ACTTTATTGATCCCAATTTGGGAATGTTTGCGCTGCAGCTGCATAAAAAGACAAGGCATTGTCCATTAGAGTTATCATATCTATACTCATCGTTTGTTGCCTAATCTCATCCCCAGGTCTCCAGATCCTCTACACTCTCCTGCAGAACGTCTCTGGAGAGGAGGCGGCCGCGCAGAGCTTCTACCAGACGTACTTCTGTGACATCCTGCAGCACATCTTCTCTGTGGTCACCGACACCTCTCACACTGCAGGTCTGTACACTGACTGTAAGGTTGTTTAGGCTCTAGAGCTTTGAAGCATTCAAAAACACTCCCAAGAAATGATTTTGCAACAGGTGAACATACCGGTTCAATCGGTTTCAGTTCCTGTTTTCTGGTGGTGGAGCTACTCGTTCCATTAATTACTTTATTGGTGAAATAGATTCTGACGTCAGCTGTTTCTCTGTGGGCTTTCACAGATTTTAAAGACCTGTTTCGTTAAACATACTACCCAAGATTCAAAGGTTTGCATATGCACAAAGCTACAGTGTAGAAATGGCAATGAAATTCTTCTGACCTGAGCTCCTCCAACGATGCAACATATATAATAAAATACAAAATAAAAAGTAGTGCAAAAAGTCTATATAAATGTAAATAGAATCTGATATGTACAAGAACAGAATATGAAATTAAATAATGTAAATTAAAACCACATGAATGATGAAGTTATCCTCTGTGCAGGATTAAGATGGAGCTACTCATTACATGAATGACTTTATTGGTGAAATAGATTCTGATGTCAGCTGTTCCTCTGTCCGGTTTTAGAGCCCTGTTTTCTTAAACATACTATCCACATGAATAATGAAGTGACCCTCTTGCTGTCTTTAGGGCTGACGATGCACGCCACCATCCTGGCCTACATGTTCAACCTGGTGGAAGAGGGGAAGGTCAGCGTGGCTCTGAGCGCCTCCAGCCCCACAAACAACCAGGCGCACGTGCAGGAGTACATCGCCAACCTGCTGAAGACCGCCTTCCCTCATCTGCAGGAGTGAGTCTCTCTCACACCACACTGAGAGTATACACGAGCAGACTGAGCTTTGCCTAACGTCTGCATTGTAGTGGAAGGTTTTTACTCAAATGCATTTAGATCAAAAATATAACAAGTGAGATATTTTCAGCCACTTAAGCGAAGGCTGTAGAAGTGAGTCAACATGAGAAGACTGTGCTTTGGTTATTGTTGCCAAATATTCAGAGCTTTTTCACGGAAAATAAGTTTTACGCAAGGCAATTTTATTTATATAGCACTTTTCAGCACGTGGCGATTCAAAGTGCTTTACAGATTAAAATCAAAAGACATTTAAGAACAAATACAGCATAAATACATTATTAAAAAGGCATTTAAAAACAGGCATAAAAAGCAAAGATAATGAAATAAAATAAACACAGCAGGTACAGAATACACGACTGAAAAGGCATACTGTAGTGTGAGTATGGGCAGCTCAATTGAAAGTGCGTTTTTAGTCGGGATTTAAAAATAGGAAGTGTTTCAGCGGACGTGCTCGATTTGGGCAGTTTGTTCTCAAATCCACAAGTTCATTGAGATCAAACACGTCATGACTTGAGGCGTTTTCAGCCACTTGAGCTTCAGTAGACCACGATGCACGTAACACTGATTCAAAGTAAAGGGTGCAGAAGTGATTCAGCACTTTCAAACTCCATTTCCATCTTCAACGTTGACCTCGTAGACTTTGATTTCTGCAGAATAAAAAGGCTGAGAATGTCTTTGTTCAACAAAACGATGAACACATTTTAATATGGCACTTGTGTTTTATAGTCTAGAACTGCAATGATACGTGGATTGATAAAAATATAATCTACTAAAGCTGTTCATCAATTAAGCATTAAAGTGATTTATTTTCTCCCTGTATGATATCATATTAAACTGAATATTCGTAGGTCCCTGGTAGTGAATGCAAAGAACTTTGAGAAACGTGGATGCTATTTTTTAATCTATTCTCTGACTTGTTATAGACTAAACAATGAACCCATAAATCAGCTCTCTATATTGCGGTTATTGGGGGTTCATATTATTTATTGAGGATTCCCTGTGACGGTTGTTTCTGTTACTTCGTCCACCTTCATGCTGTGCCGTCTGTAGACAAGCGACTAATTGATTATTGTTTCTCGTGTGCAGCGCCCAAGTGAAGGTGTTTGTGACGGGTCTGTTCAGCCTGAATCAGGACATCCCCGCCTTCAAGGAGCACCTGAGGGACTTCCTCGTGCAGATCAAAGTGAGTGTTGGAGTAAATGATTAATACCTGCATCTGAAAACGGGATGTCATTCATGAAAATGATGCCATAAAGTAAACAGACAAGTGAATCTAAACTGTGTCACAGCTCAATTAAAGTTATGTTTACCCAGTTACATATATCGTACAATTTGTGTCTGGTGATGTTGCTTTAGGAGCCTTGAAAGACATTTAATGATGTGTTCTGTATTTAGTAATAAAGCATATTGATAAGAGTCAAAGCAATTAAATAAAATCAGGAAACATCTTCAATTGAAGTTCTATCAAAATCTAAACGTAAATAGAAAACAGCTATTTGGCCCGATTTATAGAAGCCCAGGGACATCACTACAGAGAGGCGAAGTCCCTCCCTTTCCGGTGACCTCCATCGGACCTTATTTCAGAAAAATAATGTATTGAAGTCAATGGAGAGAAAACGTATTGTTCGATCCCGTTTGAATTGTGCCACGAATTACACATATGATGTTTGTCAATCTTAAAAAATAATTTCCATGTAAAAAAAGTCAAATTGTCGTAAAACTGTTGAAATATAAGACTATGAAAAATACGCAACTAGAAAGACTACAAATCCCAGAATCCCGGTCCCGCATGCTGGCTCTTACGGAACCGACTAACTCCCCTTGTGTGTATGTACAGCTCTCAACATGCCCAGACTTGGAGTGATTTTCACCTCTTTTAATACTTTTCATCTCATTCTGAAAGAAAGAAGTGAAATGTGCCAACGTGACGGCCGTCTGGGTGTGTGGTGCGAGACGGGAGATGTAGTTCATTGAGCGATTTCACTCAAAAAAAAGTGTTACTTCACAGTTTTACAACACATTTTTATTTTTCTAAATTATCTTTTAAATTGACAAACATCATATGTGTAATTCGTGGCACAATTCAAACGGGGTCGAAAGATAATCTTTCTCTCTCCATTGACTTCAATACATACATTTTCAGAAAATAAGGTCCCATGGAGCGCCCCCGGAAAGGGAGG